ATTAATTATTTTGATACTTCCAGAGGTTTGAAATATTACTGCCATGGAAAGCCTTGATTAGTTGGATGCAGCACAGCTACATCTACCACCAAGGTGAATCTCTAATCTCATTCAGCATTTGTATTGGCCTTGAGTCCTCAAAATCTCCTAAAAAAATTTTAGGATACTAAATAACTAATTGTTCCTGTTGTGCCTTTTGTTTTGAGATAATTCTACATTTGGGAGCAATTTTACCTGTCGTAACACACTGCAGAGAAGATAGAAGCTGAAGTTCACCAATGAAACATTCACTTCTGAAGGTACTTAACTAAAGACCGCCAGATCATCTTGCACAATTTCAGCTCTGGCCTAATGCTGTAGTATTCTCATAAGTTAATGAAAGGGTAATAAAGTTCAGTATCTAGTAGATTTTTTGATCTCTAAAACATATTGTTGTTGGGACTGATCCTCTGCAAGCTCTTGCACTCAATTTCACTTCTAGGGTTTGAAGACTACAGTGATGATAACCAACTCTCTTCCATTGTCAGCATGCTCATTCTTAAGAAGCCATCCAACAGGAGAAAAAAATCCAAATCCTAGGAGAGTGACCGGAGGAAAAGAAGGTCTGGGTTCAAACTTAAAGACTTCAAGGTGGGGTGCACAGTACAGAATCATAATGAACATACGCATTTAAAAAAAAAAAAGAAAAAAAGGAACGAAAAAGCTTTATGCCTTGGGAAGTGAAGGACACTTAATGAATTATCCTTTGAATATTTCCATTATTTTAACAGGACAAACAAAAAAAAAAGAAACTGTCCTCTATGTGCAACTGATTCTAGTTATAAGAAGTATAGATTAACATACATCAATTTCATATATTAGGTGTTCAAAGATAATGTTAGGTCTCTAACATTTATCAGTCATTTTCCTAGATTACGTAATTTCAAAAACCAAGCTGTGCATCTGCTGCATTAGATACCCAAGCACTTTTCAGTTTTAAATGCTGATGACCTTATAACGCTTGAAGACCATCAAATTAAGATCTTGCTACTCTTTACTTGTGAAAGACAGAAGAAAAAAAAATAATGAATGGCCATTCTTATTAATGGTCTCCTTAGTAAGATCAGCATTTCAAGCTTAGCCAGAATACAGACAGACACAGTAGATTCTGCACTGTTAAGACTCCAGTTTGGTGCACTTCGGCGCTCCTGGAGGACTTTAGGCTCCACTGCACAATGCAGCATTCAAAATGAGGATGAATGAGAGTAACAGTTCTTGGCTGTGATAGGAACCTAGCAACATCAGCCAACTGGCTGATTACACTGAAAGTGGGTCAAAACCAATGCTTTAAAGAAATCTTAGCAAGCATATAGGGCATCTGGTTAAGACTGAAACAAGAATAAAATCAAATCTGGGCAACACAAGGTGGTTTTATGCCTTCTTTTAGCTACAAATCAGTGCATAGCACTTACATAATTCTTTAGATCTATGTGGAAAGAGCTGACTCAACTGCGTCTTTTGTGATAGTTGGGATAAAACTCTCAGTTGCATATGAAAAAGGTGCACCCTCCCCCAATTTGTAATAGATTTCACTGATCATGTGTTGATATCTCAATTTGTTAAGTAGAACTTAAAGGAAAAGTGAATAAATCAAAAGCCACAGATAAGTAACCAAGGATTCCAAACAAAGTATTGCGCACCATTAAAATTAATTATTTAATGTCATGTAAGGCAAACAGTTTAGGCTATATATAAGGCTGAGATGCTATCACCATGTCTCTTGTTAGGCAACAGGAAACCTCAATGTAGATAAGCATATAACTAGCAATAAAACCCCAGAACTACAATTATATAATTAGTACATGCTGATGCTGTGTGAGGCACCTGACACTCTTCTGACTTAATCTGTGAATATTTAACTGGTTTACTTTCACTTTTGAAAAACGTCACAGAGAAACAATTACAATCTCAATCTTTTGGACTAAACCTCCCCCATATCCAACACAAAAAGCAGAGCTTCCTAGTCCAGTCATGCATCCTTCTGGAATAATGACAATATTAATTTGGGCAGAAAGAAGGTTATGTAATATACATTTATACAGAATAGTCTGTTATACTCAAATGTTAAGTTTAATATATCATAGTTCGCTCTTCAATTGACAAACTTCTCTGGTATAGAAAGAGAAAGAACAAAACCAGCTTCTATTGAGAGAATTTGTATATGCAAGGGTGGTAAGTTTAAACAAGACAGTGAATATAAAATTACCATCAAAGATTAGCCATAATCTTTAAAGTTGCAGCTGATTTCAAATATTCCTTCTGATAGATTCCTAGTACAGCAATTTTTTAGAAGTATGAATACTCCAAATCTCCTCTATTTATAGGGAAGTTTGTAACAGGTTCAACTGAAGACATCAAAAACATTTTAAATAGACATCACAAGATGCATCTGTAGTTTAAAGGTCAAATTTATTAGGAGATTAAGAGATGTATTATACATGGACTATAAATATAGCACAGCTGACTTTATTCAGAGTCAGACAGCCAATGCCAACCTATTTTGTAGATACCCTTGTTCTTTTGTTCCAAGAAAAGTTTGCACCGTAAGACTTGGATTTAGGACTTGGAATCTTCTTCTCTTCAACGTCATAGCTCCAGCCTAGAGGTTACAGGGGAAATGGAGGGAGGGGAGACAAGAAACAAAGAGAATTCTAAATATTGTCAGCATACAATATTGAGCAAATGCAACTTAAACCTTTCAACTTTAATATCTTTTACTCCACACAAGCATCCACTTTTTTATTCCTTTGTAGTTGGCAGCAGAGAATACTGAAATGCCGTAGATGTGACATATGCCCACTGTCTTGAGTCACCAGTGAAAAGCTCAACAGAGAACACTGACTGTTCTGCAAGTTCATAGCTCCACAACTCCACAGCATCACAGAAGCACTAAGGCTGTGTGTATGCTGGGACAGGAAATGAAAATAAAGATAAGGAAATACAAAAAAAAGTAGCACACAGAAGATCAGTCCCAAAGGTTGGGAGAGAATGGAGATCTTGGAAAGCTAGAGAAAAAAGAAGGGTGGGAGGATGAAAGACAGAACAAAGAAAAAACTTCAGCATTAGAAAGGAGTTTAATAATTAACATTTTTATAAGAACATAAAAAATTAAAAGAAAAGGGAATGAAGTGATAAAAGACAAGTAAATTATGTGATAGTTAAGCAAGAGAAATGCTAAAAAATGTCAGAAGAGAGGAGGTGGAGACATTAGTGTTTATGTAAATCAAAATGCAAATTCGTTGCAGCCTCCAGGTGCCTGGAAAGTTGCCAGGGCAGCACTCAGTATTCCAAAGTTTGGTCTCTCTAACTGCAACATTTCACTCAAAGTTGTGATATTTAAGTTGAAGCCAGAAGTGGTTAAGTATGCACTTCTAACTGGTACTAATAAGATGACGCATTTCTTCCTTAGTTTTAAAACAAAAACTTGGTAAGTCCAAAAAAGTTTAACATATATCTGAATTTTCACATTTCACATGTTCACAGAAAACACTCAAGATACATCTGCACATCAAAACACGCTTCTTAAGATACACAAGTTGTCATGTCACTGTGCCTCACTTTTGTGTATTCACAAATGTCACACAAGCATTTTCTTCATGTTTATTAGGCTGAACCAATGTTAATTTCAAAGTTAACTACTCTCCATAAAAGATACTTATGGAATAGAGGTTTTACAAACATATTCTTTACATCTGTGAGAGCACTGGCTTTTGCCTCTTGTTCTGATTAAAAATAAAAACTTGAGTAAACAGCCAGAACTAGATCCAGAGAGACTTTGGTACTCAACATTCAGCATTATAACACCTAACTTGGAAGCACTTGGCTGCTGGAATGGAATCTACAGCCCCAAGTTATTGCTTCATCTTTGTATACACTAGATCGAGAGGAGCCAAGTGCCTCCAAAAGAGAATCGCAACAGCCAGCACAATGACTTGGGCTGCCATAGCTATCCAAAATCCACAAAGTTAGTTACATGTAACTTTGGATTGCAAGAGGGCACCATATGTAATAAGGTTTCAGACTCCAGAAGTGTCTCCTTGAGTTACGCACCTTCAGTTGTTCATGACAGCAAGCAGAGGTAACTTTTATAAAAATACCACAATGGTGGGGGAGGTTATTCTTGCTCAGAACCCTGCCATACAAGCCAAGTGGACAGAAAGAAGATTTCTCATCACCTGACCAAAGGTTATTGTGGAGCAGAAAAAACTCTCTATCCTTGCTACTAAAGCTGTATGTTTTTAAACAACTGCCTTGGTGATGTCGGACAAGACAAAAAAGAATTTAGGTCGACAGGCTAAACTTTTAATTTCATCCAGTTACAAGTGTTCCCTCCTTGCCTTAACTTCATACCATCCTCACCTGTCATATTTTGGACAAAGATCTCCCCTGTTACTGTGTTCAGTGCTATTATCCCTACATTAGAAAACACATTAGATGGGGCAGGCAGAAAGTTGGCTTGCCTCAGGTTCCTGAAGTTCTTTGGTGAGAAAGAGCTCTTAGGTTTCCCAATTGTATCAAAACACCTGCAATATCTACAATTTGCAGAAACTAAACTTGAGGTTCTTAAGGAATTTTGTAATGGAAAATTTGGGTACTTCATACGGGAAGGACAGAGAGGTAAATATTTCTGTTCCTAGACTTAGACACACTTCAATAACACCCCAGTTTAGAAACTAAGTTCCATTGTAAATGTGTGCCTAAGTTTCTCATTTCTTTCTAAAAGCAGAACTAAACATTGTAAAATTCATATTACCAGCTATATCTGATACTGAAGCTGTTACTGCAGAAAATATTATGCACATATCATACACATTAAGCCACCTTAAATAAAAATGGAATAATAATTTAGGCAAGCCAGTATCTGCAGAAAAGTTTGATACACCTCAATTATGGTAAAATTAAGGGTGCAAGCTAAGTGAATATTGAACTAATAATACTACTACTAAGTCACAGCCCTAGTTAGAATTTCTTGGTAGTTTCCCTGCACAACAGAGACTCATTACTAATTCAGTAAGGGGATAAACTTTCTACACTGAACAAATCAAGTATTTTACTTGAATCTGCATTTTGAAAGGACAAAATATAACACATCCAAAGAGGTGTCATAACTAGCTCATTAATACAGTGATATATAGGTCAGGATTCAGGTTTTTTCTCTTATAGGCTGAATTTCCCAAGAAATAGAAATAGGATGAACAATAGAGAAGAATAAGTAAAGCAACACCACTTTCTCCCAAGTTTCATATTTTTCATAAATCATTACAAAATACTATTAAAATTGCACAGTAATTGGTATATCCAAAGCAAGTATGATGATCCTATTCATTTCTTAGTGAATACCATTTATATTTCAATAAAATTAAGACTATAAAGTTAAAAAAAATCCATTCAAAGATGAACAGAGGAATGAAATACTAGCCTTTACCATTAAGAAGTGCAAACAGATTGCACATTAAATAGTTTAGCTTCTTAGTCGTGTAACTTAATGGACTTAGCCTGGTTTTTGGGTGTACAACATAAGCCATCTAAAAACTTTGCAGAATTTGGTCTGACCAAGAAACTTTACTGTCCATTTACACCAGACTAAATATAGTTGAAATCTGCAGACCACAGGGAAGACTTCTGAAGAAGCTTACACTCCATGTGCATTATTCCTGGCTTTAACTCAGTGCAATGAATCTTCCTCACATCCATAATCACTAAGCATCAAGCCTAGCTCTTTTAAAGAAAATGAAATTGATTTTTAAAAGAACAAAAAAAGCAGCAAAAAATTCATACCCACACATAAAAGGACTGCTGAATATTCAAAAGGCTGAGATTATGGATACTGCTTGCAGTACCATAATTCTGTGAGAAAATACAAGCCTAAATAACCAAGTAAGTTTACAGATACAGTCCTTCTGATACATCATTAGCATTAAAAATATTAAGTAATGATACTTACTGGCTTTTCTATTATCTTTTTCTCAAAAATGAACCATCATCAAGTGTAACTGTTTAGACTTTAGTACTGTACTTCATAAGAGTTAGGTATAACTTCCTCAATCTACAACTTCCTCAAGTGGGGCAGCTGAGAGGAGGTGCTGATCTCCTCTCTCTGGTGACCAGCAAAAGGACACGAGGAAATGGAACAAAGCTGCATCAGGGGAAGTTCAGACAGGACATTAGGAAAAGATTCTTCACTGAGAGGGTGGTCGGTCACTGGAACAGGCTCCCCAGGGAAGTGGTCATGGCACCAACCCTGTCAAGAGTTCAAGGAGCATCTGGACGACGCCCTTAGTCATATGATTTAGTTTTAGCTAGTCCTGCGATGAGCAGGGAGTTGGACTTGACGATCCTTACGGGTCCCTTCCAACTTGAGATGTTCTGTGATTCTACCATAAATCCATTCTGAAACATGGCCAAAACTAAAGTCTAACATGCTTACTTGGTAGTCACTTAATTTTAGCTTTCCTGATTATCAAATGTTCACAAGGGTTCTGATAGTTTTTCCTTAACTAGAATCTTATGTCAAGCCTTCAGGCAAAAATCTGACTGCTATGTAGTTGGGACCCTCAGCCTGGGATACTCTTAAAGTATTAAGATTAATTTTTCTCCAAGACCTAAGCAAGGCTCAGTTCTCATTCAAAACACAGATATTTGCAAAAGCATTGCAATACTAATGCCAAGAGGCTGGAACACTTTTCCAGAAAGTGGAAGGACTAGATGCAATGCCTTCGGCACCCTCAGAAATATTCCCTCCTGTTTTCCTCCCCCTCAAGTAGGGCATTAATGGTCTACCAATTTTGTGGCATAAAGGGAAGGTACTTTATCCCGTACTTTTTCTGTTGTTTTCACTTTGAGATCAAGATGGCCTATAGAAAGCTGAACCCCTCATATCCAATATGTACAATACATACCATTTTTTTCAGCAAAGGCAATGGCATCTTCTTTAGTAGAGAAAGTAAGAACCATGTTGGATAAAGGATCAGCTCTGTAAGAAATCAGATGACAGATTTTAAGCACATTTAAAATATAAAATAATTATATCTTTATCTCAAATGCTAGTCAAATGCTGTATTACACAACTTTTTGTAGTACCCCACCTCACAAGCTATTCAAAATCCCTTTATTTTTAATTATTTCCAGGATTAACACTTACTTTCTGCAGGGTATTGTTTCAGTCTTTCAGTCTGTTAAACTTCCCTCCCAACTCCTTGCAGAAACGAATGTTTTAAGTTTTTTATTAAAGAAACATGTCTAACCACCTGCTGAGGTTACAAGTGCTCTGCAACAATCTTTTTAATTTTAAAGCTGTGTAGTCCTTCTCTTTTTGGAAGACACGGAGGCTTAAGGTAACGTTGAACATTTCAAGGACACTAGGAGTCTGTAGAGCAGCTAGGGGAAGAATAATCTTATACCAAAAAGAGCAGAATATCAAAGTAAGCAGAGCAGAAATTAATGAGAGACTGAAAAGTATGTAAAAAAACTCAGGAGTTCAGCTTTGGTTGAGGTCACATGACCTCTACAAATTATTCCAGCACAAGCAAGCAGATAGATTGCAGGCCACCACTGAAAACAAAGCTCAGAAATGCAAACTGCTAGTTAACTAAATACACAGTTTGGATGATCAGCTATTCCTCAACTGCATTTCTGAAAGGACTCAAACACCAAAAAGCTTTTTGAAACAAATTAAAATCTCAGTTAAAAAAACCCAAACTGCCTTATGTGTTGCTATAAAAGCTCAATTTAAGAACAATGACAAAGGATAAAAAAACCCCAAGGGTTCTAAAAATTAATCTACAAAACTTTTAGAGAAGTAGGATACCAGCTATAGCAGTACAATGATCAGATAATGCTTCCCTGAGACAACACTGCATATGAGCCTGGGAGACAACTGAGAAGACAAGACCAAACTGCAATCACCTATTGAAGGAGCTGCCTCTCAACTGCTCTCTCTTTGAAGCTAGAAGGGTAAATAAAGAGAAGAAGCAACCAAAGATACATTGAACTCTCTACAATAAAAGACAAAAAACCTGTGACTGGCAGAGCAGGAGGGGAAGAGAGGGAATCTAGCTTCTGGCAAGACAACAATATAAATTTATCTGATGTACACATGGAAAAATGGAGTTCACTATATTTCCAATATATTCCCCTATTAAAACAAAACTCAGGATAAAGGTAGAAATTACACTTTCACAAGCCACTAAGATAAGCTCTCTTAAAGACATTTAAAGATTTCTCTTATAAAGGCAGTAAGGAGAATCAGGAACTAAGGATTAGTCCATGACGTGATCAGTGGAGAATCAAGTGACCCAAATACATTGCAATATTGTGACAACTTTTGCTTATTGTTCTTCTCTTCTATAATTGGGGTTGGAAAAAAATCTTCTCAACAGTACTAAGTGGGAACAAAGAAGTTTGAGCCTGAAGTGTAGTGAGGGACCGGTGTCTGTTCAGTACTGCAAGTCTGGCAGAAACCTTCATGGACAGAGGCAGTTTGGAAACGAGGATTGCACAGAAATTACTTGTTTTGTTTTCATGTGGAATCACCTTTCACCCAATCTAAATAACAGCTTTTTGATTTTTTTTACATAAATGAGCTATCCATGTGTTTAAATTTGTGATAATCTGAGAACAAAATGGAGCTGAGGATGGCCAGCATGATGTCCTGATAGTTTCAGCAACAGCAGTGCTGCAGGATTTCCTGTGCCTGCCCTAAACTGTCTTATCAGTCACTACAAATTGGAATTCCACATTTTCTTCTCTTATGAAATACTGTACAATGGAAACATGCATTTCCCATGTTTCTTTGTTTACAGCTTTGTATTAAAAGCTGTACTCAAGAACTATCC